ATGGTAATTCTTACAATTTACAATCGCAAGCACTGTATGTACAAGCAGAGAATACTTTTTCTGATGTATTCCACACATGTTCTTATTGCTACACGGATAAATTAATTTTTTTCTTTTCTCTGGCGCTTTTACTAGCCGACGCATTTGAGTAGACCCGTAATGTATGGCTGATGGCGGTCTTTGCGTGGTTTTATTAACGTTTGGTGGTGGTATTGTTTGTTTGTTTGTATTTGTTAGTTTGTGTGTGTTAGTTTGTTTGTTTGTTAGTATGTTTGTTAGTTTGTTTGTTTGTTTGTGTGTTGTTGTTTTGGCGTTTTTTATTGCAATTTGTTTATGATTTTCAGTTATTTTTCTCCGAGGCGTTGTTTTCATTGCTCAAGGCTGACTGATACGATTTCACTCTTGTCATTTTAATTTAATTTAGTTTTATTTCATTTTACTTTGGTTTCAAATGTCTGTCACGAATCTGTTTAGACAGTGGTCAGTATTTTTATATTATTTTCTGGAAAGCAGTTGGCGTGCCGTGATTGTAACGCACCATAAAGCCAAATTTGAAATAGAAAAATAGTTGTTCTGGGTGAAACACCTGTCAAATTATTTTTTATTTAAAGTTATTTTTAGATGTCGTTGTTGTCATTCTTTGTTTTGTTGTTTATCTGTTTGTTTATTTATTCAATTCTCTAAAATGTAGTAGTAGTAGTAGCAGCAGCAACAGCACTAGTAGCTGTAGTAGTAGTAGTAGTAGTAGTAGTAGTAGTAGTAGTAGTAGTAGTAGTAGTAATAAAAGTTGTTGTTATTGTTGTTTTTTGTATTGTTGTTTTTGCCACTGTTGTTGTTTGTTGAATTGTTAAAATAAAATTTATCAGCGGTCTAATGTTCTCACTTTATTAATTAACTTTAACCTCACTAAAAAATGTAACCTATGAAAATGTTTGTTAGTTTGTCTGAAAATATTTGACAAAAAAACTTAAAAAATGATAAAATTGTTTAAGAAATGTAAGAATGACATGAAACCATAATTTACGTTTAAAGTTTTTAATCTGGCTGGTCAAATTTTGGAAAAAAATATTTTGAGTTCCTAGGTAATTTGTGTATTTTTAGTGTTAGAATGTTGCTCGTTTAACGTTGAATTTGTGTTCGTTTGCCATATTCTCCATCAATCCTCTCCCTAGCTTGAAATTCTTCAAAATTCGTTTGTTTAATGTTTCCGTTCAAATCAAATTTTCATTTAAAAAAAAAAATTTCAAGTGACTAATTTTCTGGTTTCTTAATGTTTATGTTGAGAAAAAATAAAGAAGAGAAAGATGTATATATATATACAATCTATACTAACCTAAACTTGAACAACAGCAACAAACATTAAAAGACACACTCACACACACATACAAAGGCTGAACGCAAAAAAGAATGTCAGCATGGCAAACTAACCAGGTCGTCCTGATGATTGAATATTGCTCGAGACATTTTCATCAAAGAAAAGCCGCAGGGAGAGGATATAAGATGTTGGGGAGGAATGCAAAAAATCATTCAGAGACAAACTATTGTCTATTGTATGTATTTTTTCTCTCTCTTTCTTTCTCTCTCTCTCTCTCACTCTCTTCATATATTTTTTCATTTTTCTTCTTTTGAATTACTTATTCTTGAATTCTCTTTCTTTTTCCTCTGATTCTGTTTATTCTTTTTCTTTCATTCTATCATTTCATTTCTTCCATTTTCTCGGTATTCTTTTTCTTCTCACTTCTTACTGTCTTGTTCTCTCTTTTGTTTTATTTTTTTCTTTATCTTTCTTTCTCTCTGTCTTTCTCTCTCTTTGTTTCTCTCTTTTTCTCTCTCTCTGTCTGTCTGTCTCTCTCTGTCCGTTTTTTCACTCATTAAATGTACATAGGCACACACAAAACTAGAAAACCTCATGTTAAGAAAATAAAATTTGAAATTAAAAATCTATATAGAGTTTTATATCAGTTTTCAGTAACACGATATTTCATCTTAGGGGAACAGAAAACTGTTGAAAATTCATTGATGAAATGTGGAAAATTTATCTTCACAAACAAATTTCACCTTTCTTGTTTTTTTTGTTTAATTACTTTATTGAACAAAAAATACATCAAATTAATTACATTATATTATTGTACAATATTTCATTATCTATATTATATATTGTAATCATTTTAATTTTTTTTTGATAAGTTAGCTTGTTTAGTGGTTGAATAGTTGAGAGAATTTGTGAAGCTTTTGGCGTTTGTTTTGACTCAGTTTTAAGTATATTTATCCCATCTTGTTATTACAAAAACTTGTTTTAGCAAATAAATTAATTTGATTCTGTTGGAAAATAAGAAATATAAGAAGATAACATTACCTATCTTACAATAAGATTGAGGTACAATAATGATAGCGAGCACACAATAATGATCACACACACACACACACACACACACACACACACACACACACACACTCACACACACACACACACACACACACACTCACACACACAAGTCAACATACAACTACATTAACAAACAAACAAACATTGAAAAAAAACACATTCGTGCATACACATTCAAAAACCGACATCTAAACACAGCGAAATACAAAAAAATCTCATAAATTCACAAACCCACACACAAATATATAGAAACGAACACACAAACACACGCCCAAACATACACACATAAACACACAAACAAACATACAAAGAAGCACTTAAATAGCAGACAAAAAACAATTCTTCCCGTCTGTAGATGTTCATAGTTGACCAACAAAAACACGATGTACACACACACCCACTTGTTGTAGGCACAATTGTTGTACGTACAATCTTTGTACGCACACACGCAAGATAGTTAGTTGATGCGTACATAAGCTAAAGAGCATTTGGTGCGCATACGCGAGGCCTTACGCGATGTACACTATATATATGTGTGTTTATTTGTCGTTGGACTTGTTGATGTTAATGTTTATGTTTTTGGTGAGGTTGTTGTTTATGTTTTTACAGTTTTTTTTATGTTGTGTATGCTTCTAGCAATGATGTCTATGTTGATGTTGTTGTTTATTTGTATTTGTGGATGGCGTTCTTGAAAAAAGTTGCGAACAGTAGGTTGCAATAACTTGCTGTCAACAGAATTAAAACTGTTAGGGTGTTACATTTTTCCTGTGCCAACTTACGGCTCTGAGTCCTGGACAATTTTTAACGAAATTGAAAAAAAATAACGCTACTGAAATGCGGTTTTTGAGAAGAATTATGAAAATTAGTTGGACCTTCCTTACTTCGAATGAGGATGTTTTAAAACAGTCCGGTTATGAAAAGAGGACATTACTACAGATAATCCGACGGGGGCAGTTGAAATTTTTTAGTCACATCATGCGGAAGGAAAGAATGGAAAATCTAACAACTACTGGAAAGATTGCAGGGAAAAGAAATCGCGGTCAACAACGAACAACATTCGTGAAGTCCTTGTGTCACTTGTTGAATATCACCACATTTCAACTACTACAAAGTGTTGAAGATCGGGTTTTGTGGAGGTCGATGGTCGCCAATGTCCTGAAAGGATAAGGCACGAGAAGGAAGAAGAATTCTGCAAATAAAAATAAGATCATTGTCTTCAAATCTTTATTTTTAAAAACTTTTAATTTTGAAAGTTCCGTCTTTCTTTTATGAAGTCATTATTTTGATATCACCCGGAGCCACATTATACTCATTAAAGTTCTACGTGCTTATTTCAAAATTTCTAATGACTTTTTTGCAGACAACAAACACCAATACTAATGCACACACACACAAGTCACACACACACACTACACACACACAAGTCACACACACACCACACACACATACAAACCTAACTATACCTACATACACAAGCAAAACACGCCACAAAAACTACAAACACATAACAACACGCACGCACACACACGAACGAACCTACGCACACAAAAAGCATGTGCACACACTTTCACACGAACACACACACACATTTCAGCACTTCCATACACATACATATTCCAACATACAACAAAATCCTAAGACAAGGAAACTATACGTTTTCAACGAGCATAATAACCTTATTAACTCTATATATACAACAACTACATCTACATACAAACACACACATATACACGCACACATGCAAACACATATACACACATAAAAAAAATATAATGAGATAAATAGTCTGTCCGAATTTTCAAAAACATTATTTGATTTATATTCGTGCTAACTTACATTTATAATTTAAGTATGTGTGTGTGTGAGTGTGTGTGTGTGTGTGTGTGTGTGTGTGCGTGTGGTAGAGTAATTGTTTATAATAGTAAAAAATGAATGATGAATATGTGAGCAGGTATTGTGCTGTGTGCTTGCTGGTGATGAAGATGAATGATGATTGGATGGGTGGTTTGCAAGATGAATGAACGAACGAAGGGAAAAATTATCGTAAAAATGTAGGGAAAAAACAAAATAAATGAATGAAGAATTATAATGAATGAATGAATGAATATATATATATATATATACGCACACTTGTGTATACTTATAACTCTATGCTGTATTGTATGAATTCTTCCGAAATACTGTATAAAAATACTGTCCCCTACCAACATAATAACTTTCTATATATGTATATGTTTATATATATATCACTGTTTATTCCTCTCTCCTTTTCTCTTTTTTTGTCTCTCTCTTACTCTTTTTCTTTCTCTTTCTGTCTATCTCTGTCTGTCTGTCTCTCTCTTTCTTTATCTCTTTATTTTTATGTATACATGTAAATATACAAAAATACAAATATCACATAACGTAAGAAATCTCATTTTTTTTATTCATTGTCTATAACACATGAAACCACTGGATTTAACACTGAGTTATGTAATACTTCGTTCGCTATCGTCTTCATCATCGTCATACATACATACATACATACATACATACATACATACATACATACATACATACATACATACATACATACATACATACATACATACATACATACAATGAAATGAAAAAAATGAAAAAATATGGGAACGCCCTCCCCTCGATGGAATTCTTGCCAATATGCATCGAGGTTCTTGGCCCGATGGACCCCAACACCCTTAAATTTCTTAAGGAAATATGCAAAATGATCAGCGTCAGATCAGGCGACAGCAGGGAACTGTTTTTCGCAACTAACCACATTTCGTGCTTGTTGCAGCTGTTCCTGCGTGTCTGTGTGCTTGAAAATATCCAACTGAATGCCGACATGTGCAATTAACGACAAATCAAAGTGTTAATCCATTTGTTACTTGATGTTTGACGGTTCAGTGTCACTCATCATGTTTTGGTTTTAACATACATACATACATACATACATACATACATACATACATACATACATACATACATACATACATACATACATACATACATACATACATACATACATACATACATACATACATACATACATACATACATACATACATACATATACATACATACATACATACATACATACATACAAACATACACATACACAGATACATACATATATTCATACATACATTCATGCATAGATTTATATTTTAATGAGGTTCATATATACATACATACATACAAACATACATACATTCATACATACATACATACATACATACATACATACATACATACATACATACATACATACATACATACATACATACATACATACATACAGACAGACATAGATACATATGCATACACACATTGATGTGTAACTCAATTATTAAAACGTAAATTAGATTTATGCTCCACGTATAAGCCGTCAAAACCCTACTTAAATATTTACAATGAAGTTTGATTCATTATCGTCATCATCATCATCCGCCTCCTCATCTTCATCATCATTATCATCATCAGACAAAGACAGGCAGTTAAAGACAGACATACAAAGAGAGGGAGAGAGAGAGAAAGAGAGAAAGAGAGAGCTACAGAGATAGTACATCATCAATTGAAAACATGGACCTTTGAATGATCGCTGCTCATACCAAAAGGTTTTTATAAGCTTAACTTTCCGCAAGATAAATTTTCTTGATATTTTTCGTTTCATTTATTCTTAATCAATTCATTTTTATAAACTTTTCAAAAATTTAAAGTTTGCTTCATTCATTAAATTGATTTAATTTTTATAAAACTACAAATGCATTAAACTTGTAACCGAATGACATACCAAAAAATTTATCATTTAAAAAAATGAAATTGAAATATACGTAAATGTTTATAATTATTTGCAATAAAATGAAAATAATAAAAATATCACTACTACTACTACTACCACTACTTCTACTACTACTACTACTACTACCACTACTACTACTACTACTACTACTACTACTACTACTACTACTACTATTACTACTACT